GCTTCAGGTTACGTGCATTTATTACGTGCATACACCCCGCGCAGCAAAGAGGCATGGCTAGAGGCGCTGTAATGTTATAGCAGAGAAATTTAAAATGCCGTCCAAATTAGTGTTGGGCCATTAGACGATGCCATCGCCAATGGACAACACGGTGCTGAGCCGGCATCGCCGATCCTCCGCCCCACCCCCGTAGCAGACCCGCTCGCGAAAAATACACACTTGGCCCCATTTACACCAATACATCTTAGTGTTAAACTGGGATTTTAGAGCAAAAATGATCCACATCCACACAGAGTTTTACCTAGCATTTCTGAACAGCCCTCCGTCCGCTGAAAATGTACATCACGTGATCACACACACACAGCCACACACACTGTCATGCGCTCACTTGAGCTCAAGAGAGCAGTCCAGGTCGGACAGTTAATTAATCTTGTCTCTATCTAACGACTCTTTGTTTTTGTTTTTTTTATCAGGTAACGCATCACAGCATCAGTACACTGCTTGTGCTTGTACTTAGTAATTTTAGTGAAAACCTCAGATACTGTTGGTTGTGCACCTTTTTTACCAACCTACCTCATGCAGGAAAAGTGATTGACAGGTGGTAATTTGTGTGCAACATATCTTTATTTATATAATAACAATGGTAAAACAGAGACCATGCGGGTCATGTAGTTGAAACGGTAGGCTACAAATAATTAATTAGTTATGAATTAATTAATTATTCATGAATCATTAATTCTCCTCCATCTATGACGTCGATGCCATCATCCATCGCAATGTTTCACATTAGACATCGTACAATGCCAAATTGGTTGACATCGCTCAACCCTATTCAAAATGCTGCTATTTTTACAGAGCTCATTCTGTTTCTGTATTTGGGATACCAAATTAGGAAGTGCTTACAATTTACTTTGATTATGTTCCAGAGAATTCTAAAATATATAGCAAGCATTTGACAAAGGATAGCTTCCAGAATCGCTCCCAATTTGTTAAATGGTTAAAACTCCTCAAACCAATGAAGCTGTGGATTGTGAGCGACAACTTGTATTTTTATTTGTTAAAATTGATGTATTGTATGCACAATTTTTTGTGTTAACGTTATGTTGTTGCAAGGACGTAAACAATGAGAAATGCTGTTTGGCACTGTTAACAATTTAGCTACAAATTCATATTTATTCGTCAAACCACTGATTGTGTTGTGTGCCACCCACAATCTTCACCAGTGCTGCATTGTCTCTCTATGCAGCCACTTTTCCTGCGTTCTACATCTCAAATAACCAACTTGCAAAAAATATGTGAAAGTTTCATCTTACTTACACATGCTTATTCTGAACAAATGTAAAAGACACTTGTCAGATTTTATTTTGGAGTGCAGGCCTGAGGTTCAGCTGTGTGCTTCTCATTTTCAGTCTGTTTCAGGCTCAAACTGATACAGCTAACAGCTACTCTGACTGACAGTACTTTGTAGGGGCGTGACGCTTTTCCTGGTGACGTAGAGCAGATCTGTGAATCACAGCACTTTTTGTTAGCAGGCCAATCAGAGCCTCTTGAGAGTGAACTTTCGGAAGAACTAGGAAATAAGACAGTTGTTTTCATGTTAGCTGAGTAGCTGTATATAACTAAACTAAAATATATAAATAACATTAAAATATAAAAAACATTATTTTCTACAAGTAAAGCATGAGCACACATTGCTTTGCATCTTATAAACCCAACCAAGCCTTAAAAATACACTCTGCACAATCCCTTTAAAAATGTAGTGAAAACCTGCTTAACCTATTAAAAAAAGTTAAAGTAACATAAAAACAATTGTCGTCATAACCTTTTGTAATTTTAACTGTGTATATGTAATGGAGCATCCAATAAAACTCAGGAAGTGACATTTAGATTTTACTTTTTTTTTTTTTTTGGCAGGAATAATTGTCAATCTTATATGGTTGTTTAGATTGCATTCATCACGCTTAGCCTTTCAAAGAGATTAGAAAAGTGGAAATAAGATTTAAAAATGATTAAAGTTATTTTAATTTTGTTTTATTTAAATAAATACAATTTTTATTAATTATTTGCTTTTATTATTTGATATTGTATTAAATATCCTTTTCTTTTCGGCTATTAATCTGGGGTCACCACACCGGAATGAACCGCCAACTTATCCAGCACGTTTTTACGCAGAGGATGCCCTTCCAGCCGCAACCCATCTCTGGAAAACATCCACACACACACTCGTTCACACTCGTACACTACAGACAATTTAGCCTACCCAATTCACCTGTACCACATGTCTTTGGACTGTGGGGGAAACCGGAGTACCCGGAGGAAACCCACGCGAACGCAGGGAGAACATGCAAACTCCACACAGAAACGCCAACTGACCCAGCCAAGGCTCAAACCAGCGACCTTTTTGCTGTGAGGCGACAGCACTACTGCGCCACTGCCTCACCTATTGACTGATTTACATATTTTTAATTAATTAATTTTGTTTAGATTTTTATTTTCATTTTTTTATTTATTTATTTTTTTAATTTGTAAAGGATTTTTCTTGTTATATTTTTGTTGCTTTATATGTGGTTAAGGGGGAGGCGTAATTGATGTGTGCTCTTGGATAGTTGGATAATCTCAGTTTCCGAGTGATACTACACAACAGACCGCAAAATATTTTCTGTGAATGCCTTCGTGCTTCAAAAGTTGGATGAAATTCAACTCTTTCGTTAGTACCCTCATGCCAGGGTCATCAGATGACAGGGATTTACCCTGCCAAGGTTGTTAAGAAGTACGTCTGGCCAGACAATTCAATGCGCTACATTAAACTCTGCAGCCCTGAGTGGGAATATGTTTCTACTGGTCATGTTGTGGCTGATATTTCGAAGTTCTTTGGTGAGTCTGAACTGTTTTTTTGCGTGCCTGGTTGAAACGTGGTTTGGCTTGAAGAAGTGAATATATTTGTCTGGACTTTGAGTGTCACGTCTGACTCGAACTGTTCAGATGCCAGAGAGGCCTATTGATAGACAGCTGGCTTTAACATTAAAGGAGAATGTGCTGTTAGTGAAGGATTTACTACATTTCCTCAGTGCCTTTGCCTTTGTTGTCATTATATCCTAATATTTATCAAATATTACTTTGCAATTAAATAGAAAGTATAAAAAGTCAAAAAAAAATCATTAGCCTTCTCTGAAAATGTAAAGATTTTAAAAATATTTTTTCTCCAACACATTTTAAACATAGTATTTAAAAAAAATTATTTTTTAGTGTTTTGTCTTTGCCATGATGACAGTGCATTATGTTTTTCTTATTTGCAAGATATTAGTATTGAGCTTTAATTGCCATTTAGACATTTAAGGAAGCTAATAATATTGTATATTAATACAATTGTATAAATAATATTTGAGTTGTTGTTGTTGTTGTTGTAATTATTATTATTATTTTTATCATTATTATTATCATTATTATTATAATCATTATTATTATTATTATTATTATTATTATTATTATTATTATTTTATTTAAAATGGATTTCATTCTAGCCAAACTAAGCAAATAAATAAAATTGTGAAATACTGTAAAAAAGTCTTGGTTTGTTAAATATTACTTGAGAAATCTTGAGAAACACTCATACATAAAAACATTGTTTACACATATATTTTATATTGAAATATAAATAAACATTTTCTTAAATTTGGGCATGCATGTCTGTATTTATAATAACAAAGTACACACATATTATGTCAAAACAAACTTGATTAATTGTCATATATTTATATATTCTTTTGTTATTTATTTATTTGTTTTTAATATTTTTATTTATTTCTAATTGTAATATTTTTCATTTATTTATTTTTATTCATTTTTTATAATTTTTTAAATTCATTTTTATTTTATATTTATTTTATTAATAATTTGTAATCATTTTTTATTTATTTTAATATTCATATTTTACTTTATTTTTATTCATTTTTTCTTTATTTTATTATTTTTATTTTTTAATATTTTTATTTATTAATTTATTTTTATTTACTTTTTTATTTTATCATTCATTTTTTCATTTATTTTTTGTTATTTTATTATTCATTTTTCATTCATTTTATTTATTTTTATTTATTTATTTATTTTATTAAATTTTTATTTAAAATAATTTTATTTTATTTTTCTAATTTTCAATTATTTTGTACTAAAATAAATATTACATTCAAATTTATACTATAAAAACAATTAACATCTAATAAAACTTTTTTTCTTTTTTTCATAACAAATGTATCATCAAATATTAGTATATGCAATTAAAAACCTATACTGAACATGTATTTTATAAGTTCAGACAGGAACAGCAATGCCTCACTGCCATACCTATAAGGTGACTATTAAAGGCAGCTAAAAACATGCAATGGGAGTGGCCTCACCCAAGTCCCTCCCTCTGCTCAGGAATCCTCCAATGGTAAAACTGAATGGGTGGGACTTCACCTCGAGCAGGTCCCTCCCAGCCCTAAATGAAAGCCCATTGTGGAATGCACACATTCTCTCCTACATGTACACACACCCTCACGTATGTTCCTCAAGTCCTCTCTCCTTCCTGTTTTTCACAAGTTCCTGCCTTTTTACTGACGCTAGTGTTTGTCGCCTCACACTGGAAAAAGTTCAAGCTTCCCAGGAATCCCTTGTTTGAGATTCCTAACAAGGAGAGCTGGAAAGAAGAGCACTTTTAAACGCCTCCCAGCTCATGTTTGTTGTGAAGACCGAGCTGACCATGCTTTGGAGCTTATTTCCTTGGTGTAGCTGACATTGGTGAGGGGGGGTTGAAAAATTTGGCTTGGGAGGAGGTGAAAGAGAAAACCCCATTCACTGAAACGCTGAGCCGAGTGTCTCCTTGGGGAAATCTAAACTTCACCACCTTCTCCTAATAGCAATCCAGAGGAAAATTCTTCCCAAAAGCTGGTGAAACATGCCTGGGAGAGGAGATTTGGTTTAGTTATGGAGTCACTAAGGGAATCTATTCTTCATTTGACCTTTCAGATGTCTACTTATAAACGGGCCACGCTGGAGGAAGAGGAGCTGTTGGACACCGGTTCTGATGGGATCTACCACACCTCTAGCATGCAGGTGAGAACTCATTTCTTTGGCTATATTTCTTTAAAGTATTTCTGTAATTGAGGTGTAGAGCAGTATTGTGGATCTCTTAACCAAATAAGACATTAAATGGTTCCAGAACACTGTGCCAAGTTACTTCCTCATGCTCCTTCTTTCAAACGTCCTCTGTGTTTTAGCGCAGTTCAGGTTGTTTTAATATGTCTGACACTTCTGTTTACTTTTAGTAGGTGCAGTGTTAGTTTAGTTATTTCTTTAAGGATCATGATCGTGGGAGAAAGAAAAATAATAGAACTGACATTTTGGACATACATTTTTACATTTAGCACCATGTCCTTTTAATAGCATATTCATTTGCGCTACTTTGTGGACTCATGGCTGTGCTAGTCTAAAAAGGAGGTGTGTTAAGGCACATTATTGGCGTGTTGCTATTTTAAGAAACTGAAATAGACTGCACCACTGACCACCTCAAAGCTGGTCTAAAGTCCAGCGCAGAGCATGTTAGTTATGTGCCTATGCAGGTCCAAATGCTTACACATTGCTTAATACACACAGTATGTACAGAAATACACATATCTTTACATATGAAAACAATTTAAGGGTTAAAATTTACAAATATTATTATTTTGTTTGGATTTGTATAATGTTATTATTATTAGTAGAATCATTTATTATATGCATATTTGTTTAAATAAAAAAACAAGTTTAGATTTGTTCACCTGTTGGGTTTGGAGACATATGCATCACCATATGGGGCATAAGAATAGAACGTGTGTTCGGATAAAACTTAGTTGTTTGACCACATTTTGTTGGTCAAACTTTTGCTAGAAATTAAAAGTGAATTTAGAAACCGTTTTGAAACAAATCTTCATTGAAATTAGCTATGTAGACTAATGGATAACTTCAGTGGAGTGCGTACAACACCGTTTCCTCATCCGCGAAAGTAAAGACAAAGTAAAGAGGCCAATGGAGGAGGCTCGTTCTTTATCCTCGCACTGCAGATGGTCTGTTTAACTGTTTTCTCATTAGTGAAGCTTTCAGTTTTTCCACGTACAAAGTGGGCCATGTAAATAACAAATGCTCCATGGCGCGACGCAACTGATTTTTAAAAAGGTACGGTAGATGACACTCTCACTGGTTTAATGCACGTTATGCTCAAAACACACTCATAACTCAGAAAAAAAAATCAGATTTGGACATGCCCGTAATGCATTTGTGCCGTGAGCTTTAGACTATGTGTCTAGATCGTTAAAATACAGCCCCAAGGCATTCATTTAATCCAGAATTCAGTGATAAGTAATAAAATTGTGAAACAAAATAAAATATATTTTCTTTATTTTAATATATTTAAAAATGCATTTTTGTTAGTGAAACAGTTCTATTATTTCAATGGTATTATAAAGTAATATAATCCTTTAATAAATCATTCTAAAATGCTGATTTGCTGCAAAGTAATTATTATTATTTAAATTGTAATAATATTATAACTTGTTCTTTGTTTATTTTTATATTCATTTATTGATTTTATAATAAATTTTTGCTAATATTTTTAATGATTTTAATGCATCCATGTTGAATAAAATAGCATTAAAATAACATACTCCATACATTTGACAAATAGCAGTGTATTCTTTTTTTCAAATAAAGTACACTGTAGGATTAAAACTGTACAGTTTGACTGATCTACTTCCACCCTGATCAGGCATTTGTTACCTTTTAGTAGTAGTTAAATTAAGTCACATTGATCCATTTATTTGACTTAAATTAAAACATTAAGTCAACACGTTGTATTACCTGCTTAAGCATTATTTTTTGCCAGACTCTTTCTGTTGCTGCTAATTTGCATAAAACTGGCAAATGTTTATATAGGAAATTAGATTCTTTGATCTCTGCTCTGTAAAAACAGCTAGCCCATTTCAGTGGACATTAATTCCTTTAAACACCGGAAATTGTATTAGATAAAGTACCTCTATACCTTGTAATAATCAATATATATATGTACCCTCTTTCATTTAGTCTTTTTCCCATACTCCACATTTGTTGTCAATTTGTTTTTATTTCGGTCAATGAGAAGTAGAACTTTAGAGTATTTAACCTTTCCTATAATATTTTCTCTGGATGACATGTGGAGAATTCAATGTTCTGGGATGGCTAATTGAAACCATCTCCCTCTCTTTGTTTTACTTTATCCCTCCGCTCTCGTTGACCCTCGAGAGCTCTGGGTTTGGCATTAGGGCTCATTGAAGCCACACAACACACACAAACACAAGTCACCCGGCACACATCCAAACTAAGCTGAGTAATTGCACAGCTGGGCACCTGGCCACTAGAGGAGACTTTTCAACTCTGTGAGCTCAGCAGGACTTAATCTGATTTGAGTTACAGAAATCATTACTTTAGTTTCTCCTGCACTTCTTATGCAAAGAGCTGATCAACTATGAAATGCACAAGACTTGTTTAATGGGTAGAGAATTGAAAGCAAAAGAGAAGTCATCAGGGGAAATGTTTAAAGCTTAAAGTGTTTAAATTTTAACTGAGATTTTAGCTACCTGAAACTGATCCTCTATGATTTTATACAAAGTTATTGGCATTTGGGACTTCATTCATTCATTTTTCTTCAGCTTAGTCTCTATTTCAGAGGTCGCCACAGGGGAATGAACTGCCAACTGTTCTGGCACATTTTTTGTGCAGCAGATGCCCTTCTAACCGCAACCCAGTATTGGGAAACACCCATACTTCACATTCATTAAGCCAGTTTAACCTACTCAATTCACCAAAACCGCATGTCTTTGGATTGTGGGGGAATCTAGAGTATGCGGAGGAAACCCACACAAATACGGCGAGAACATACAAACTCCAAACAGAAATGCCAACCGACACGGACTCGAATCAGTGACCTTCTTGCTGTGATGCCACAATGCTAACCACCACCCAAGTCACCATGCCACCCAGCTTTCAGAATTTTGGACAAAAAAAAGTAGAGGCAAAACTAAATTAATGATTCAAGTGGCTTTTGGCAGTAGATTGAGGTCTCATGAAGTGAAAATCATTAAATCTGTGCAAGAAATTGCACATTATTTACAATTATAACAATGTTGGATTTTAATCCATCGCCTCAGCAAATGTTAATTGACTCCTAAATACATTTGATCCATCCTAAATATTATTCAAAAAATTGAATCATTATGCCCCAAATCGTACATTGTAAAATGAGTATTCTGAAGATTGGTTGGTCTAATCATCTCCTGTAGAAATACCTAGTGTAGTTCAAATCAGCACTCTAAAGGCTGATTTATACTTTGCCTGGCGCCACATCACGGACTCACACTGACTGCGCATGCACCTGCATTAAATGACATAAAACGACAGGGGGCGGTCAAAAGAAAGCGACTTTAAAATTAGATAGATAAACATAAAAGTAGGAAGTTTCCGAAACTGTCATATCATTGATATCGTTCAAGATTTTAAAACTAATTATTTTTATTCATTATTTTAATAAGTATAAAGATTTTTTTAAACCATTCAAGGTTTTTAAAAATCAAACTTTGATGCATCACTTTTTTTCATTTTTCGGACAGTTTTTTTTTTTTTTATAAAAATTTATTAAAATATTAATAACAACAGAACATGGGTTACTCTACAAATATATTGAGTTGAAGTCAGAATTATTAGCCCCCCTGAATTGTTAGCCCCGTTTCCGATTTTTCCAACACATTTCTAAACATAATAGTTTTAATAACTCATTTCTAATAACTAATTTATTTTATCTTTGCCATGATGACAGTAAATAATATTATATAATATAATAGCTTAAAGTGAAATTTGAAGGCTTAACTAAGGTTAACTATAGGTTAACTGGGCAGCTTAGGGTAATAAGGCAAGTTATTGTATAACGATGATTTGTTCTGTAGTCTATCGAAAAAAATTTGCTTAAAGGGGCTAATATTTTTGTCCTTAAAATGATGTTTAAAAATGTAAAAACTGCTTATATATATTTATATATATATATATATATGTGTATATATATATATATATATATATATATATATATATATATATATATATATATATATATATATATACATATATATATATATATACATATATATATATATATATATATATACATATATACATATATATATATATATGTATATATTAAACAACAGTTCTGTCTGGTTCTAGAATATGATTGGCTGATAGCTGTGATATGTTTAAGTAACATCAGTACACTTACTAAAAAATACGGATGTTTTTTCATTTAGCCCACTCCACAATTCACACACTACTGCCATTACTAGTTTGTCCCATGCTTATATGCTAAAAACACAATAATGGTCCAACATTCCTGACCATTATCACCAGTAAAGCCTAAAAACAGGGCATCAGTATATTGTAAACCAATAGGTTCAGATATTCTTTTCCAGTTATCAAAGTAATATTTTGTTATTTCATTTTAGTTTTGTAACTATTAAATAGTTTTGAATTCAAAATTGTAACATCAGTGTAAACCTATGAATGGTAGAAAATTGTTTATTAAAAACCACCTGGGTCTCTACATTTGCCATGGCCTCTCTTTTAGGTTTTAACAAACCTATCCCTCAATTTTTGGGTTCCACACAATTCATGTAGTTAGTCCTAGCACAAATTAAGTTAACTAAACACATTTAAGTGGATTGAACATGAAACAATTACGTTTTCCCAACAACATTACAAGAAGTGTTTTGTTTCAGCTCATTTTAAATAAGTTTGAACAAGCAGCAACATTATCTTTTTGTCTGTACAGGCTTTGGTTAAGATGTTTAAATGTCTTGAATTAATATCTAACCCACTAGAAAATATTTAAATCACGTTATATTCATCTGCAACAACAATGTGGGCTTTTTTATAATTGTTTTTAGGGGTTTTCACCTTTATTGGGATAGGACAGTGGAGATTTTACAGACAGGAAAGTGTGGGGAGCAGAGATGGGGGAAGTATCGGCAAAGTACCTCGAGCTGGGAATTGAACTCTGGTCACCGTGAGCACCTCTGTGTCGACCCGCTAACCTCCAGGCTATTGGGGCTGACAGTGTGGGCTTTTTTAAAGATGTGTTTGGCCATTAGATTCTCAATGCATTAATATGCAAACACCTGGGGGATTCACTGCATGAAAGACTGATGAATGGCAGATTAATGGCAGATCAACCTGCTGCTGCTTTAATATGAAAGAATATGGATGATGTGCTGAGATGATTGACAGGGCACGCAACTAAGCAACACAATGGTCCATTATGTTATGAGGAAATGATGTTGCAAAGCTTGTTACACACCCAAAAGTAACTTTTTTTTCTTCACAACAGTGTTAGTAGTTGACTTTAATGGATTCAGACAAAATTTAGCTTTTACTCTTTATATATCATTTATTGAAATACTTGTTAAAACCCTGGACTTTGAACTTTTATGACTTCATTATACATTAAAACCCGAAATTATTCACACTCCTTGCAAAGTCTGACTTAAAATGATTTTTTTATTCAACCAGCTAGTTTGTTTTTTGACCGAAATAACACAGGCTTCTCTCAAGGACAATGTACAAGAGACATCATTGTGAAAAAAACAATTCTCAGCTTTTATTTACTTTTGAACAAAAACTTTCAGAATTTGCCAGATATGAAAAATTCTGGCTTGACTATATTAAATGGCTTGGGAAGAGTGGCGCCTAAGACAATTTTTGCCTGAGGCAACGATCCCTTTAAGAAAAATGTTTCATGTGATATTACTTTTTAAGATAAACAATGGAAATAAAAAAACATCTCATGCTGAATGTCTTATTCCAGCTATTAATTTTGAGTAGTAATGCGTTTGGCAGATCGGTGTTCAGACTTGCCAGTCATTTCCTAGAAGCAAGCATTTCCTAGAAAATAGGAAGTTTATCACTGTTGTTCTGGGTTAGTTTGTCTCCTAAGGATTTAATGCTTAATCTGATGCCGATAACTGCTCTGGGTTCAGTACCTTTTGAGATATGCCGTCAAGACCACAATTATTTTCTGTGGTCACACTAACACCGTTACAATGAAAAGAAGCAGGCCAGCATTCCAGATGATTTGAAAGCAGCAACCCTTTAGTTAAATGCCTTGCATAAATAACCTATTTGAAGGATCCTTCAAACCTTATCCATTCTTTAAAACATCATCATTTTTTAAGGTGGAATGTGATCTGTATTTTGAACAGGAACAGAAAAACAATGATCTTCAGTCTCACCAAAGTTTAATATTGTTGCAGGACATGGTCATACTGCTCATAATTTCTCAGGCAGTACTGGATTAAACATGAAAAAAAAAAACATTACATACTAATATTTTCTAGAATATATTTCCCAGTGTTGGGTTGTGACTAAAAGAGCATCCGCTGCATAAAACATATGCTGGAAAAGTTGGTGGTTCATTTTGTCGTGGCGACTCCTGATTAATAATTCTTTTGGACTAAGCCCAAAAAAATAAAAAAATAAATAAATGAATATACTGAATATCATATTCATTTCTTAAGGATTGGTTCTTTTCCAATCCCTATCATTTGCTTGGTTAGTAATTTCAGTCTAAACCTTTATATTCTGTTTTTGTGTGATTGTCAGGTTGGTGTACAGCGTGGTCTGGGTCTCAGATGCTGGGCAGAAAAAACCCACTCCGAGAGAAAACTTGTGGTCCTTGTGTGCGCTCTTTCTGTGGCTCTGTTCATCTGCATCATGTCTTTGGGTCTGCACTATAAAGAATGTAAGTGATTGGATTCTTTTAGTTGATGGGACAAATATTATATGCACACCTATTATCAATTATATGCTTTGACGAAAATATTGTAACTTAAAGGTATAGTTTACTCAAAATTTAAATAATAATCTCTTAACTTGTTCTGAACCTGTTAGCTTCTATATTCTTTTGAACACAAAATAAGGTATTTTGAAGAATGCTGAAAAGGGTTACCATTCTTTTTCTTTGTCCCACTATGTAATTCAATGGTTACCAGTTTCCAATATTTAAAAAAAAATTTTTAACAGAATATTAAGATTTGGAACCACTTTATGAGTATATTTTCATTTTTTTAGACAAATTATCCCTTGTTTTTTAACAGTATAAACAACTACAATTTGGTAATTTGAGGCTTTATTGTGATCCTCAAATAGAGTCTATGTATTATTAAATTATTCTTGTTCTAAATATAATTTAGGATTTTCTGGTATATAAGCTAATGTTTACTGAATGATGTTTCAGTGAGTGTCTTCTGTAAATCAAATGTCTGGTAGTCCTGATTTACATTTTGGAGTATGTCCATCTTGAAATGGGACAGTAGTACAAAATAAATAACAGTATTTATTTGAAAGCGATTTCTATAACCCGCATTTTGATACTGGCTCCCTGATATATGCAAAATACCCACCGTTTTCCTAAAATGTTCACCATTTAAATATATGAAAGACACTTTTGGTTAAGGAATTTAGAAAAGAGACTTAGAAAAGACTGCAAGAAACAATTTCAACAATTATAAGGTTGCACTACAAATAATCCTTATTCGTCAGTTGGACTAAATGAACTGTAAATAATGTAACACTTGATTAGGTGTATAAATAGAATATGTGGTTTCAGCATTGATATTACAGTTTACCCATCTGCAATAGTCACATCGCAGGATATGCAATGTTGACTCTGAATTATAGTTGACCAGGAGCTGCAGAATTGTTTTTAATTAATGTATTTATACAGAATTTATATACAATGTATATACAATATACAATTTTTTTTTGTCTTGTATCTAGTCCGAATATCTTCATTCAGTCATGCTGTTGCTCAAGCAAGACGAATTGCTGTATGACAGAACAAAGATTTTATTCAAGACAGTTTGCCTTCGATTTCCTCAACCCCTATCAGGCCTCAACCTTCTTGTCCTTATCTCTTCAGATTATGGGCTGGGGTTGCATATTTTAGGCCTAATACGTTTCTTAGAAGAGCTTACAGTGAATCTATTGTTACTGCCTTCACTCTGTTTCCACTAGCCAAATAAAAACACTGCCCTTTAACTCCAATTAATTTCAGTTTTAAACTCAGTACTTGCAAAAACCTCATTCACAAACTCAAGCCAAAGTAAACACAAAGCTGTGTGTGTATATACATATAAAGGAGACGCATCATGTCCTTTTTCATTAAAATATGAAACAAATGTGCAAATTAGATGTTGCTTTCCAGAAAGGGGTGGAGTCTTTACATGCTATTCTGATACTCCAGAAACAGCAAAACAAGCCAATCTCACACAGTCAAAGTATCTGGAATGACCAGTAGCAGAATAAAGCTTTATATTATGTTCAAACCAAAGTCAGACGATGATATGAGGAAGAGGTTACAACTTTTAAACTAAACCAGAGCATTTCTGATTGGTTAGAGAGAACATTTATGTAGTTGTTGTGGAGATAATTCAACTGATTTACTAGTATGTTATTGGTCTGATGTGCCGCCTTTGCAAATAAACATTACACTATTATGATGTACACGGATTATGCAGATGCTGCCATTTTATAGATTCATTTGACAATATAGCTCTTGGGGGTATTCCAGAAAGCTGGGTTAATTTACCATCTGCTAAACACTGAACTCTCGGTTGATTAACCCAAAACATGCTTACCACGAATATGACGGTTCCAAAACAGCTGATAGGAGTTCGTTGAATCAACCTCTTGAAGATAACCGCGGGTTAATGCACGAGCACGGCGCATACCTGAAAGCATTTTCAGTAGATCGCCGAATTCACGAGTCACCATAGAAAGTCACGGTGAAAAACAAGGGCAACGCACTTTATAGAGGCAGAGCTGTAGGTTTTAATCACAGATTACACATCTGCATCAACGAAGGAAAAAAATATAAGACGAGAAATAGATAAGAAAAGAAAAAATACATAATGAGAAAATTCGTTAGTTCATTAAATTACACATGCCACCCTCCCTTTTATTATGAAAAATGTAACTCCTCTTTAACATACTTTTTGAGTAGGTTATGTAACCATTCATGCATTTAATTTTCCTGCCATTAATTTCTTAAGGCCACAATATAAATGTGTATTGACTAGTATATAAGGCTTACAGAAATTTTAATGCTTCTGGAGCTAGAAGAACTTTGTTCAAAGATGTATAAAGTGTGTGTGTGCGTTAATAGGTGTATATAAATGAACGACGTCATTCATCTTAAAGTATGGATATATTTTCCTACAAAAGACCAAGCTGCCACTCCTTATAATATTATATATAAGCTACAAAAATGTGAGGGGTGCAGAGAGAGAAAGAGAGAAAAACACGAGATCTCTAGATTTGAACACACTCCGCTGTGCTCTCCGTTGATCTTTGATGACGCACTGTCCACTACGCTATTGCAACGCTCTAAATAATATTTGTAATGATATGCAATGGTCTATGACCAAGGAACTGTACGGAAGTGTATAAAACAGTTCAGTGCCAGCCATACTGTACAGATGGTCCTACACGCTATTGTCACTTTGTAAAGTTGCCTAAAATCTCCTGACGCGAATACAAATAGCTGCACTGAATGTTTTCTATGATAAGCGGAGCGCAGACCCACGGTTTGACACATTTTAACTCAAAATTTTTGTCGCATTTTGATTTCATTTGATTGTTAGATACATTAATAATTCTTTTGAAAATGTTCATTCAAATATACATTTGCTCATGGAAAGAACTATGCACTTAAAACCCTCTCACAATAAAAAAACTTGTATATCTGTGCTTTTACGTCTATCAAAATTCTCATCGAAAGAGCCCGCAATGGTCAGAAAACTCTCTGAAAACAGACAAACTCTGGAACAAAGCAACTTACTCCCTGAGGATAATCTGCTCTGGAGCAGGTTATCTTCAGAGAGTAAGTTGCTATGGCTACTTAACATACCCCAGAAGTTACCTCCGATTTTGGAACCAAAGCTGAGGTTATCCACTTACTCTCAAACTTACCCAGGTATGTCACGTAACCTGCTTTCTGAAATACCCCCTCGGTCACTGTTAAAGGGAGAGTTCACCCAAAACTGATAAATCTGCCTTCATTAAATTGTTCCAAACTTGCTTGACCTTCTTTCTTCTGTTGAACACAATAGAAGTTATTTTGAAGGAAGCTGGAAACCCATAACCAGTATTTGTTTTTCTTACTGTGGAAGTCGAAGGTTTGCAGGCTTTCAGCTTTCTTCAAATAATTTTCTTGTGTTCAAGAGAAGAAAGAAACACATAAAATATTGCAACCACTTGAGGGAGAGTAAATAGTGAGTACATTTTTATTTTATTTATTTGGCAAATGCTGGAGGCAATGGCGCAGTAGGTAGTGCTGTCACCTCACAGCAAGAAAGTCGCTGGTTCGAACCTCGGCTCAGTTGGCGTTTCTGTGTGGAGTTTGCATGTTTCTCCTGCCTTCGCGTGGGTTTCCTCCGGGTGCTCCGGTTTTTCCCCACAGTCCAAAGACATGCGGTACAGGTGAATTGGGTAGGCTAAATTGTCCGTAGTGTATGAGTGTGTGTGTGAATGTGTGTTTGGATGATTCCCAGAGATGGGTTGTGGCTAGAAGGGCATCCGCTACGTAAAAACTTGCTGGATAAGTTGGCGGTGCATTCCGCTGTGGCGACCCCAGATTAATAAAGGGACTAAGCCGACAAGAAAATGAATGAATTAATGAATGAATTTGGCAAATGATCACTTTTGCAAGTATATTCCGAAATGCAATTTAGAATCATTTTCAAAATATGAAGAGACGATTGGTAATGTTATTAGAGCATGAAGCAGAAACGGCGTTGAATTGACCATCATTATTGCAGCGGTCTGTCATAGAATACGTTTTGTTTGAATAATAATACTTGTATTCTTCTTTAACCATAATTTCCTCAGAGGATCAGAAGTTGTGAGTCTATGGAGACTTTTTTTGTATTGTTTTATAGTAAATCTCAAGCTTCTACACTGAGTATGCAGAAATTTCAATGGTAGACAATTGAGTAAATTAGATACCGGTAGTATATAATTTTGTCAATAGGTAAAATGAAAAGCAATGAAAACTTACCAAAACAAAGTTACTTTTTCACATTAGTAGATTCACCAGGGACCAGATTATAACTCTACTCCTATATATCTACTCCTTACATTTTTAAATCAGGCTCGTTACTTTCATTTTCATGTGTTTGGTGGCGTGATCTATATTATTTCTTGTCATTGCCAATTTGAGCACCTTTTTGATTCAGTAGGTCTATTTTCGTCAGTGTGCGGCTTTTTCAACCTAGGCTATCATGCACCTTATTGTGGCTAGTTTATGAAGATTACTATGAAAAAGGCAAGAATGACTATGCAGATGAGACAGAGGGAGACTGCGAATTTAACATGACTGATGCTGCCCTGTTTACACGGTAATAAGACACATTTTGCTCAATCAGATCACAGGTAAACAAGAGAGACACATTCCAGTTCAGGTGCTTTAGGAGTGCTCTACTTCCGGTTATACTGTCCAAATTTCTCTTGCCTTTCAATCTAATACCACGAAAAAAAAGTGCTTTTTTTGAAAAAATTTGTACATTTTAGGACTAAAACACTCAAATACTTTATAAAAACTTTATGTATCAAGATTTATTTTCTTTATTTCCGATGAGTTCAAATTTCTTAATACAGAATTTATACTGTTTAACAGTTTTTTTTTATTCACTATATGATTTTGCATATAGGCATATTAATCTTCAATTTTAACAAATGCTTTACAACAACAAAAGTAAAAATACTCGGCAATTCATGTCTAAAAATATAATGCAAAAGATCCTGAATTTATCACGTGAATAACAGATCATGCACATGTTTTTTAGGTTGTAGTCACGCCTGTGATTGTAGCTTTTAGGATAAAATAAATGTATTAACAGTATTAGTGTTTATTCATTAAGTAAACTATCTGCAATACCCAGGAAAAAGCACTAAAATAACAGATAATTTTTAAAAGCTGCTAAAGCAAAAAAAAAATCATTGTTTGCTGTCAAATACGATAAGTATTTATTTTCGCAATATATTAAATATATTGAATAAAAAAGGCAGCTGTTGTTTTTGATCCAACAGCAGCAAAACTACATGATGAAGGATGTGAGTTTGCGTCAGGATGATGAGACATGAGGGAAACCAGATATTTACCTACCTAGTGAAACTAAAATGTGTAGTAGTAATGGGTACTTTTTACTTAAGTACATTTTTGAGGCCATAATTTTTTACTTTTACTTAAGTACAAAAGTGCAATCAGTACTTCAACTTTTCCAGAGTCATTTTAAACATGAGTATCTGTACTTCTACTTGAGGAAATTATTTTTGTTCTTTTGCCATCACTGGCAAAAACACATACTAAAATGTTACTCTTTGTGGTTGCGAATGGTTAGTATTGTATATTTTTCTCCTCCCATATCACTTCTGCTAACAAAATGTCTTTTTTTTTTTGTCTGAGCACAGATAGTATCTGATGAAAAGGAAATGCAGTACTGTGATCTCCTGGGTTTAATCGCTGTTCTTTTTTTTTGAGTAACTCTTCTGTGTGGCCTTTTTTATTTGATCATGATTCTGAATAAATACAGTCCTTTTCTCAGAATCCAAGTTTTGGCATCAGTCCCGATAAAGTGAACAGTTCCAGATGGGTTCATGTCCTGGGATCTTCCTCAAAGAGACATTCATAGGATATTTATGATGTGCAGAGTGAATGCAGTTTGAGATACAGCACTGAAAGTGTAGCTCACTCAAACCCAGAACCATAATCAAAGCTGTGTTGATTTATTTCTCAATCTTATAAAGATAAGTAAGTGATGTGGGGATGTGTGCCAGAACTGCACTTAATTTATGAACGTCCTGGTGGAAATGACATCAGGAAGGCTTTCTTGTCTGTTTTGACATGTATGTGATGTATATGCATACGCAGCAGCTTATTTATGTACATGTACTGTTTTTTTGGTTTTTTTGTAGCTCATCCAGGTCTGTGCCTGTCGGAGCCATGTGTGAGTGTAGCCAGTGCAGTTCTGGGGTCTCTCGACCGGTCGGTGGACCCCTGCCAGGACTTTTATAACTTCGCATGTGGAGGCTGGATGAGGAAAAACCCCCTGCCTGAGGGCAAGTCCCGCTGGGGGCCTTTCAGCAACCTGTGGGAACATAACATGGCTGTCATGAAGAACTTGCTAGGTAAGAAAAACACAACGAAGAAATAGTTGTATTATTTTAATACTGCTTGATGATTAAATATATACAGTGTCGATCATAAATGAGTAAATTCTCTCTATAGGATGCTATTGACCTTATTCTTAAATGCGGAAGTGCGCCTGTTTTCGCGATTGTCTTAGAACTTCCGATTTAGTCGCCTATGGGAGAAATGACAAGGAATAATAAACGGCAGAAAATGGCCAAACTACTTGCTCAACAAACAAATATTTGCATGACTACACAGACCAAGTAGCATAATATAATAAGAAAATATTAAATTGCAACATCAAGCAGCGTAACGAGCAGTTGTTAACGTCAAAAAATGAATGGAAGTGAATGTGACCGGAAGTCGCGAGACAAAAAGATTCAAATGGCAGCGCCCACTCGTCAGCTGAGAATAAGGTGAATACAATAAGATATTTGTTCATATAGATTAGATTAATTAGTAAGTAAAGCCAAAACTAGAACTAGTTTAACAAAATTATGATGCACAAATGAGTACACCCCAATGAATATATTAGGAAAAAAAATTAAATAAAATTTGAATAAAGAGGAAATATCAAGTGAATTGTAAAATAATTAAATGTTGTTGAAATGTAGTATTTCTTACTATAATAAAATATATTCTCTTTATATATGTTAGGTGACCAAAGTCTTATTTTAATGACATGGAGTGGCCTAGTCAAAGTCCTGACCTGAATCCAATTGAGATACTGTTGCATGAACTTTTAAAAGGCGGTTCATGCTCAAACTCTCAAATTTTGCTGAATTACAACAGTTCTGCAAAGATGAATGAACTGAAATGTCTCTACAGAGCTGTTACAAACTTGTTGAAAGTTATCAAAAAGTTTGATTGCAGTTGTTGCTGCTAAGAGTGGCCCAACCAGTTATTAGATTTAGGATGCAAACTTTTTTTTTTTAACACAAGGCTATGAAGTTTTGTATTATGTTTTCTCTTAATAATTAATGTTTTCATTTAAAAACTGCATGGTGTTCACTTATGTTATCTTTGACTAATGTTTAAATTCCTTTGATGACCTAAAATTTTGTAGGGTGAAAAACATGCAAAAAAAAATACAAATAAATCAATTAACAGGGCAAATACTTTTTCACACAACTGTGTAATTAATGTATTACTCATTCAAAATGTATGCTGATTATATAGATAATTACTTTTGTAATCATTTAGATGATAGCTGTCTTTGAAACAGAGTTATTATAGATGAAGTAAAACCCTTTTGCTACTTCAAATTAAAATAATTGACAGAAATGTATATAAAATATTTATTTAAGCTTATGTTTTAGCTTGTTGCAACAGAGATATTTCTCATTTTAATTTAGTTGATCTTGATGATAAAATAACTGAAACTAAAATTAAAGTATGTAAGACACAACAGAACACGTCTTTTAATTTATGAATAAAGCAGGAATGATGTTAGCATGAAGGCTCCTACTAACTTATTGGCTTCATTTCACTTTGCTATAAAGGATTTGTCATATACATTTTTTTTTTTAAAATTTGTATATTCAGAGAACACCAGCATGAAAAGCTTGAGCAGAGCAGAGCAGAAAGCCCAGTGGTATTACCAAGCCTGCATGAACGAGAGCAAAATTGAAGAGCTTGGAGCAAAACCACTCCAGGACCTCATCAATCAGGTGACCTCAGATACACACACACAATCCCAGTCACCTTATTTTAACAAAACGAAGCTCCAAAGATCTGCTGTAAACATATCAGCCTTAATGAAAACCAGCTCTTAGTCTTATTCTGGGATAATAATTCTTAATAACGGAACATTGTTTTTCCAGACGGGAGGCTGGGGCTTGAAAGGCCCGTGGGAGAAGGATAACTTCCAGGAGGTTTTACGGATTGTGTCAGCCAACTTCCGAACCTCTCCCTTTTTCACTGTTTTTGTCAGCACAGACTCAAAAAGCTCCAACAGCAACATCATACAGGTGGAAACACTTATGATTTTGTTCATTTCAATCATCGTGACATGTCGACGGGAAACTCTGCACTGTTTTAGATATGGTGCTTTCTTTTATGAGTGCTGTCAGAATTTATTATGTCTAGGGCTGTTTATTTAACATGTTAATTAGATATGTAAAACAATATATGGTTTTAATGCATCCAAGCCCAGACCTGAGTAAATGATAGTATATTTCATATAATAGTTTGACTCCTTGCCAATGAAGCCTATGGAATGTTGTTATATGACTTTTTAAATTCAAAACATTAAGGCAAGAATGCCCATTTTTCATATTGTTTTGTATCATATTCGTGTTGTATTATAAAGTTCAGTAAATAATACATTAATATTGTGTTACATTTTAGACTCAACTGTGTCTGTTTTTGCTCCAATTAAAAAATGTAAAAAATATTACCTTTGAAATTAAGCATAATATTTGTTGCATCTGCATGTTTCTTTTCTGAATGAATCCACATCAAATCAAGTTAACCAATAATTCAAGGGCTGAGCTATCAAAAAACTGAATGAATAATTTTTTTGAGCGAATCAATGAATTAATGACTAAACCACCCACTTGTTTGACATTTACCACCAACCAGAGTCCTGCACGGGTCGTTAAACCCACATCTGCAATAATTGAAAAAACACCGACCTGTCACCCTTCAGCAGGACTAATATCATTCCGTAACCCACTCTAGCTGTTTCACATACACACCGCGACCCGAACCGCACGATACATAGATGTGCATGTACTTATTTTCTCATGCAACAAGCATTAATTTAACAGAAAAAAGATAACTATTCTTAATATCAAATGAACTATTTTAATACATTAACACATTTCCTAAATGACATATAAAAGAAATACATAAAATAATTAAAAGTATGCCATCAACTGTTAATGGTTTCAGCTGACTTTGTCACACATTTAAAATCAAACACAGAAGTCTCTCTTACTTAATGCGAGGAATGGTATGACAAGAATAGAACTAGATTAGTCTGAAAATATAGTTTTTTTTTTTCAGATATAGCAAAATACAAAAGCAATGTTACTTACTACTAGCTAACAATAATGGATCACTCTGCAACACGCTAGAGGGTAAGCTGCCATCAAAGGTTAAATGCAGGAACCAGGAGCACCATGATGAGCTTAAATCTTTATTCAAGTTTTGAATAAAGTTGCTGCACGATTACCTAAAATGCTGCACACTGATTGATTACTGGACCCACATTCCGCCTGTGCCTGTTTATTATCGACTTGCACCCGAACTGCAAATGACGTGAATAATTAATCCATCCATTACATCAAATATTAGCGATTCACCCGACAGGTACCCATATGTACCTGTCTGCATGCACGACTCTGCAAACAGCTACCTATGAATTTCATTAAACAAAATATTCATATTTTCTAATTTGTGCCATTTCAAACATGCATGACATTATCTCTTGTGGAGCATACAAAACATTCAAGAATGTTGGCAACCAAGCTGTTTTGCAACTGCAATAAAGAGGATTTAAATATATCCAAATAGCGATTGAGAAGCAACTTCTGAAAATAAGCATGACCATTATAGCCAAAAAAAGTAATAGCTTCTATTATTAAAAAAATATTTCTTTCTTTTGTCTTTTTAGTGCTTTTCACATTTACCATAATGACTTTTCTGAAATAAATTGTTATTTTGGGTCAGTTTCCTAATTAAATTGTTTATAGATTGACATTCCATATTGTTATACAGTAATGATACATGTCACTGTAGCTTTTCTTTGTTGATACTAAAACACACTGTCATTTTTGTGCAGGTGGATCAGTCAGGATTGGGACTCCCCTCTAGGGAATACTATCTCAATAAGACCGCCAATGAAAAGGTAAACAAAGTGACCATATGTTGTTCATGAACGTGGGAAACGTTGTGCTGTGGTCTAAAGCTGGTGTTGTCATTCCTCCTTTAGTATTTAAATGCTTACTTGAACTTTTTGGTGGAACTTGGAGTCCTCTTGGGCGGCTCACAGGACACCTCGCAGAAAATGATGGAGGAGATCATCGAGTTTGAAACCACCCTGGCAAACATTACTGTGCCTCAGGTGGAGCGACGGGATGAGGAGAAAATATATTATAAAATCCAAGCCAAAGAGTTGGCGGTGAGTGTTCCTTACTAGTTACTATAGCACTGATTTAAATGCATGGTTCTTCTCTGCTGGATCATGACTAGACCAGCAGATTTGTAAGTCCATCATGCAATCTATTTATTTACTTGCATATATATTCAGTTTTGATTTTAATTTCAGTTATATTATTAAATAATATGCAAATGTTAATATGATTTATATACAATACAGTTTATAAAGTAATATTTTCAGTTTTTATTAGATATACATTATATGATAGACTTGCATTGTTTACCAAACAAGTGGTCTTAATGGGGTTTGCATTGAAAATTAAAAGTTAAAAAGTTGTTATTATGTGTTATATTTTTAGCACCTATACTCTCAAAATCATTCCACATAAATCCATAGATTTTATACAAATTTCTGAGCAGAAATGGCAAAACATTTTGCCTTACTATAATCGTGACCCAAAAATCCTACAGGCTTGCTTTGATAGAGTTATACATGTAAAGGATAATTGAGATTTATAAACAACCTTTCGAATTTGAAGGCATTTTAATTGTATTAAAGTTCAGTTTAGTTTTGTTTTGCTACAAGTGATAAAATAACCAAAGCTCTTCATCCAGAACACTGTGATCAAAATTAGAAAATGGCCAAAATTGTATGTTCGATGAACATTTGCATTCGCTCTGCCATGCAGCTTTAGCGTTGTTTTTTTCCATTCATTCATTTTCTTTAAGGCTTAATCCCTTTCATTGTTTTTTTCTGAACAAGATAATGTGTGAATCTATGATTCTATGAGCCATTCTTTTAAAGATCTGATCACTTCTTTGCTGCATAAATGAGTTCTTTGAATGAATCAGTGAACGCATAACTAATCTCTCAATCATTCACCACCAAGTGTGTGTTTAGAGAATTATTTCATTATCAATTTTTCATATTTTCTTAAATGTTATTTCAAAATTGCATGAATTTCTTTTTGTTGCACCAAATAAATAATGAAGAATGTTGGTATACACTGCAAAATACACTATGTTTCTTACTTGGATTTTTGTCTTGTAACTAGTCCAAATATTTTAAAAATTGTAAACCAAGAAGTATTTTCTAAACAAACAAAAAAGTATTGTTTCAATAAATAATCTGCCAAGGGTGTAAGCAATATATTTTAGTTTTTTGTTTTGACATAAGATCATTTTGATTACCCCACTGCCAGATTAATTTACTTGTTTTAGGGAAAAACTTAATTTTGACATGTTATTTCTTAAAACAAGACAATATTATCTAGAAAATGCTTCTTAATTTAAGAATTTGTACATATTGGACTAGATACAAGACAAAAAATCTAAGTAAGAAAAGGTTTTTTTGGCAGTGTAAGCTCATTTTGCAAGTCACCTAAGGTTAAACAGTTGAGTTTTATCATTTTTTTATGAATTCAGCCAATCTTCTGGTATGGCAGAAGAAAACATTCTCCAGCTAGATCATTTTTTTAACTATTTTTAATAAAGTGCAGTTAAATGTCTGATATTTTGTCAACTTGTGATTTTTTTCAATCAGAGTCAAGATGTCGAAACCTAAAGTTCTATTACCTTTACAGCATAGGATTTACTTTATAGGTTGAGTGTGGGCTGGAAATCCTCATCAGTGATGTGTTTATATGTTGTGCTGCAGACATTGGCTCCTGCCATAGACTGGATGCCTTTCCTGTCTTCTGTTTTTGCCCCGGTTGAACTAAATGATTCTGAACCTGTGGTCGTATACGCTAAAGAATACCTCCAGAAAGTCTCCGAGCTCATCAGCAACACAAACAAAAGGTAACCCAACGTTAGCCAGATCACTTCTGCACATTTATGACTATGTAACACCTGTGGAAACGCACATTCTCTATTGTTTCAAATTGTCAGATAGCTGAGATCAAAGCTAATGTGTTTCCTGCAGTGTCTTAAACAACTACATGATCATGAAAGTGGTGCGGAAAATGGTGTCCATCTTAGACCAGAAGTTCCAGGATGCAGAGCAGCGTTTCCTTGAAGTCATGTACGGCACCAAGAAGGTAAGAAATGAAGATCAAAGCTGTCATCTGTCAGCCTGAAGCAAAACTGCTCCGGAAAGAGCCATCAAATATCACATAACAACTCATGTTTTTTCACATTTATTTCAGTCCTGTTTCCTGTCATTCATAATTTAACGTTGCCATAGTTGGCATTTTAAGGAACTTACTGTTAAGGACAAAATTATTAGCCCCTTTAAGCTATATATTTTTCTTGATAGACACAGAACAAACCATTGTTATACAATAACTTGCCTAATTACCATAACCTGCCTACTTAGCCGACTTAACCTAGTTAAGCCTTTACATGTAACTTTAAGCTGTATAGAAGTGTCTTGAAAAGATCTAGTAAAATATTATTTACTGTCATCATGATAAAGATAAAATAAATCAGTTATTAGAAACGAGTTATTAAAACTATTATGTTTAGAAATGTGTTAAAAAAATATTCTCTCTGTTAAACAGAAATTGGGGAAAAAAACAAGAGGGCTAATATATATATATATATATATATATATATAAATAAATAATAAATAAATAAAATATATATTATATAATATTATTCATTCGTTAATTTTCTTTTCGGCTTAGTCCCTTTATTAATCTTGGGTCGCCGCAGCGGAATGAACAGCCAACTTATCCAGCATATGTTTATGCAGCAGATACCCTTCCAGCTGCAACCCATCTCTGGGAAACATCCATACCAATCACTCACACTCATACACTACGGACAATTTAGCCTACCCAATTCTCCTGTAACGCATGTCTTTGGACTGTGGGGGAATCCGGAGCACCTGGAGGAAAACCCAAGCGAACGCAGCGAGAAAATGCAACCTTTACACAGAAACGCCCACTGACCCAGCCGAGGCTCGAATCAGCGACCCGACCTTCTTGTTGTGAGGTGACAGCACTACCTACCTCGCCACCGTGTCGCCTTATATAACATTATATGTAAATATTAATAAAACAAATAGACAAATAAAAAACTAATGAAGTCAAAGGAAAATTATTTAAATTTTAACTTAAGGTAAAATAAAAACATTTAATTAAATAAAACAATTAAGAAAAACTACCATATTACAAAAAAGTACTAAAATGCTTAATCGGATAATGCACTTTACGTAGAACACTGTTATTTATGTTTGATGATTTCATCTTTTTCAGATCATAGTTTACAATGAACAAAATATCATGTCTTTTTAGTCAGATTTGAGATGGTCCAAAGTGCAAAGTCATGTGAATTTGACCAAAAATTTATTCAGCCAAGCATAAATCATAATTATTTTAAATGAGCAAATAAATGTTATTCTGTTTGCACTGTCTGTACAAAAAGTCCTGAAAAAAATATTATGCAGTAATGGCTGTGGAATAACTTGTTTTTTTAACAAATACATAAAAAAATTAAATGAAATGATAATATAGATTAGAAACACGTGCACATTTAGGTAAAATATTGCTCTACACTACCTTTTTTCTCTTGCAGGGATCTTTTGGTGCAGAAATGCTTTGATGTTTAAACTAAATCATCCATATATTAAACAAGCGAGTGTGTCTATTGGGCTTTTTTTTAATAACTGGTATCAGTGTTGGTGTATTTGGAGAGGTGGCGTGTTGTTCTGCGGGGCGCCAGCTTATTCAGACTCTTATCAGGAGGAGATCCTGTTGCCCTGGCCTCACTTTCCGCTGGGGTCAGGCTGAAATAACAAACCAAAGACTGAGCCTTGGGCGCTGTGTGTACGCGTGATGAGTTATGAAAAGAGATGGAGAGAGAAACCTTAAGGACGGTCACCTTCAGCAAAGTTGTTGAGGACACAGCTTTTATTTTTTCATTTAAAGTGATAGTTTAGTCAAAAATGATCACTCATCATTTATTTGCCCTCATGTCATTTCAAACTTGTAGGATTAAATTACACAAAATATGCTGAATATTGACTCTTTAACTCTGTAGTATGGCTTTTTTTTTAAATACTGTAAAGCGAAAGTTAATGGTGAAGCTGTTATGATTCAAAAATGTTTACACATTTATTTGGGAGTCAATGTGTTTAAAAATAAATGACAAGGAAAACAAAGTAATATTTATAGCATGCTCTCACCAAAATGACTTTTTGAGCTATGTGGCCCCCATATGCAAAGGAGAAATGCATCACAGTTAATCATGTACTATTGTGAAAAACAAAACAATATATTATAACACCAAGGTAATGTCAATATCATTTAAACAAAAAGGCAAAAAACACACCAGACAACTTGAATGAAAGCGAAAACATCAATTATCTAAAATAGTAACCTAAAATCTCTGTAATAATAATTATTATTATTATGTAATGGAGGCCAGCTAGCGAAGTGCTATGCAGGTAAACCTCTCTCTTCTGACCTCTAAAGGTGCATAGGACCGGTGGGTTACATGTAGGGGGCTCGTCCGGGATGGGAGTGAAGTTTAGTGAGGTGAGTGTAACAGAGGCCAGCTAGCGACAGATGCTAGAGGCCATGGTCTTAGCCTCCTTGTTAGAGCAACCGACTCCCATGCGAAGAATTGCCGGTTCGATCCCAGCTCCGAGCACATTGGGTACAGCAGGACTGGTGGGTTAAAATAATGTTACCAAATTTTACCTACACCAAAAGAAAGCTTAAATATGGCTAAAAGTATAACAAAATTAGTTCACATAATTTCGTTTTGTGGCAGAATGTTCATCTATGAATGTAAAATTAGCTTTTTATTAGATTAAAAGTGACAGTAAAGACATTTGAAATACTGCAAATGCTGCTCTTTTGAACTTTCTATTCATTAAAAAAATTATTTAATGGGAGAGTTTATCCAAAAATGAAAATTGTCATCATTTGCTTATCCTCAAGTGGTTCCAGACCTTTTTTCAGTTTTCCTTTTTTCCCTGCTGAACACAAAAGAAGATATTTTGAAGAATAGTAATACTCTGTATCCATAACTTTAATAATACAAAAAATATTGTGGAACATTCTTTAAAATTATCTTCTTTTGTGTTCAACGAAGGAAAAACTCAAATAGGTTTGGAAGAAGGCGAGTAAGTGATGGCAAAATTTCTTTTGTTCATTGTGTGAACTGTTTATTTAAACGAAATGACATTAAAGCTAAATCCCAATTCTACCCCTTAACCATTCCCCTTTCCCTTCGTTTTGCGCGTTCACATGAAGGGTTAGGGGTGTCCCAATTCTCTTTAGCTTGAAGGCGTATGGCTAAGGAGAAGGGCTAGGTTCCCCTTGAAATGAAGATTTTTCAGGACCACACTTGAAACAAGGGGTAAGAATATTTCCCAGAATACACCAGCCACAATGGCAGCATGGCTGCACACGGAAGAAGATGCACAAATTAGTATTTTTTTGTTATTATTACAAATTTTTACAACAAACAAGCATATGTTTTAATACATTCATAATGACGTTTGTGTTTTATTGTCATGCTTAAAAAAAAACAATGCTAAAATGAAAACAGCTAAATTTGGCTATGTATAATCCCTAACAATAACTCCTGTAGAATAGTTCCACAGCATTCTGTCACTCGATGACACTCGAATACCCTGTCAGAAATGTCTAGTGGCTAGAAATGAGCTTTTTATAGTGACTGGTATAATGTTAATGTTGTGTTTATGTGTTTACATAGATAAATATGACCACGGTGTAAATGCACAATACAGTAATGAGGCTATTGCCGCATTATATCCTTATGATAATATGACATTCCTTCAGTGATTTCTTGAAGATAAATACCAAAAAATAACACTACAGCAGTTGTCATTGTTGATCTCTTATGAAGCAGGAGATTACGATGACATATAATGACGTATGCATGTGATGTAGTGGTGTCCCATTTTTTTTAGGAATAAATTTTGAAGCCCTTCCCCTTCACACTCCATTTCAAGGGACAGGAAAGAGTTTAAAACTTCTTTTCATGAGAAAAGTGAGATGTCTAGCTTCTAACTTATTACATCCACATGTTTTTCGAAGACATTATAAACAAATTATTTGTGATGCTACCAGCATGGAAACTACAGTCAGTTGATGCCTGGAGGATTTCTGTTTGTGAGATGTCACCCTGAAAAAGATGTTAGTTGTTTATGTATCACCTTCGTGTTTTGCAGAGCTGCATGCCACGCTGGAAACTTTGCGTCAGCGACACGGACAGCGCTCTGGGCTTTGCTCTCGGGGCGCTCTTTGTCAAAGCTACTTTTTCCGAAGACAGCAAAGCTTTTGTGAGGATCTTTGTGATGTTTTTTTTTTTGCACTCCGTCCCCGTCTTTTTCCTCCAGGCCTATAAACTATATTCTCTCCTGATGTGTTTGTCAGGTTGAAGATATGGTCTCCGAGATCAAATGGGCCTTTGAAGACAGCTTGAAGACTGTCAGCTGGATGGATCCCGAGACAAAAAAAGCAGCCAAAGAAAAGGTGAGAGCTGACAGCATGATCCCATGTGATGTTTTCCAGCGCTGTTGCCCACAGGGAATTTGGGTATGGATCCTGCGGAAATCAACATCTAGCTAATATGTCAGATATATGCTTTAGTTTTCAAGTTAGGTTTTATTTATTCATTGCCTTTTGTGTTTTTACATGCCAGTTGGATTTTAAAGGCCAAATATCCAGGGGAAATCAAAGTTGTAGAACGGCCTATAATTTCCTGACTTTTACAAGATTACTTCTTCATCCTATTTGAAGTTATCCTAGCAAGAGTAAATGAGCATTTTTTTAAGAAGAAGCTTTAACTTTTCTAGACACTGGGTTCATTCTTTCTGGATATATTGTTTCCTGTCACCCTGCTTGCTTTCAGTCCAGATTTTCTAAAAAGAACACTTTAAAAAAAGTGTTAAACAGTTGAGTTTTACCATTTTTTTAATCCATTCAGCCAATGTTTGGGTTTGGCTGAAGCACTTTTAGCTTAGCTTAGCATAGAGAATTGAATCGGATTAGACCATCGGATTCATCAGATCATTTACAGAGACTGAAAGACCTGGGGCCTCAAGTACAAAGACTTGCGTTGAATAATACTAAAACATTACGTATGGACAAAGCTGTAAATATGCGTATGCAGTAAAAAAATCAGATGTATGAAACACTGCGTACGCGGAATCCCACGCATATTCTCTTTGTACATCTGAATTAATGTCAAATTGAGCACAACATGCACAAGCGCACAACCCCTCCCTGCCTCCTGCCCTGTATAAATATGGTAATGACAGGTAAAAAAGCAATGGCAAAAGCAAGCAAGAACAGAAACTTCACAGAATGTGAATTGGAGGTGCTCCTATTGAAGGTAGACCGGAGAAAAACTGTTTTTGTTGTGTATTTGCAAGTTTGTCCTCTGGAATTAATAACAAAAGTAAAAAATAGAGTGGGAGAGTTTAGCTGATGCGGTTAATGCAGTGGGGTCTGAACATTGCTTTGTGAACGGATTAAAGAAAGAAATGGTTTGATGTAAAGGTGCAGGTTAAGAGGAGAACAGCAGCGCACCATCAAAGTGTGGACCGAACAGGCAGGGGAACAGGGGATGCCCCTGTCTCTGAGGAGAGAGTTGCCTCAATTGTGGGCTGGATTAGTATCCGTGTCTGTGGGAGACAGATGTATTAGAGGAACACTTTGTTAGGGCGGTATAGCAGCACCCCTCCACTCTTATCAAGGCAGCACCACCGGTATTTCAGCTGCCCAATCACCCGCTCTACAACTGACTTCGTGCAAGAATGGGCATCATTGTATCTGCGCTCTTGGTCAGTTTGTGGGTTGTTGAGGGGGGTTAACAGCCAGGTTTTTAATGGATAACCGCGGTCTTGTGATATGCAGTTAAATAATTATGCTAAATAAATAGTTTTTTTTTTAAACTTAGCTGAAAAAATATCTTTAAATACATCACTTACCAAGAAGCCACCCATCGCACACTGCCACCTTGGAGCCTCCTTGCTGTCTCTCTTTCCAAATTTAGACCCAACTCGGCACAGAGCTCCAAGAGGATAGCTCTTGGAAATCTGAAACAGTTAATAAGCCGGTAATCATCGTGGGCCAGAAAATCACTGTGTTCCCTAAAAAATGTGTTCCCTTCGGATTCGACCATTGACAGTGTCCTTTAGTAAGGCGAACACTGCCATAGACTAAGGGTTGTATACATTTGCAAATGCTTTTATATGTTCTAAACCACATAATATATGCATATTGTGTCAATTAACCCATTTTATCAATTATAAATAATAGCAATGTTTTTCACATGTGTTGGTGTGATACTTTGTAGTGTGCAATTTAATATAATTGCCTCTAGGAGTCGCCAAAGGAAATAAAACAAACACACAAAAGAATACACATACGCCAGACATGAAGTTGGCGCGGACCAATGCACATTCTCACGTTAATTTCATTGTTAATAAATCCAAAAATGAGCGTGAAACCTGGTGTACGCAAAGTGTTTGTGCATACGCAGCGTTGATACAAGAGGCCCCTGGTCTATTTCTCAATTAAAAATGGAGATTAATAATGACATTACACAAGGATACAAGATCGCTGAAGAACGCATATTGAGATACAACCTTGTAATGGATGTGATAGACAAAGGAGACATCCTTTACATGCAGTGTTGGTGGTACTCCAGGAACATGGATGAGACACTGCTGTACCATATATCAGAAAGGAAAATACCTTCTGAAATTTTTTTGCTCTACAATGCCACCTGGTGTTAAAGTGTATACTGCGATCTCATAAATCCAATCAGAATGTTTTTGTTTTTTGTTTTGTTTTTATCTAGGCTGATGCAATATACAACATGGTGGGTTATCCAAAATTTATTATGAACCCCAAAGAGCTGGACAAGGTGTTTAATGATGTATGTATGCATTTTGGTTCATTTCTGTTTGTCTTTAGTTCATGAAAAACATCTTTAATGTGCCTAAACTAACATATTCGCCTCCCAAACTGTACATCAGTTTGATGTTGTTTCAGATCTCTACTTTCAAAATGTCATGAATTATTACAACTTCTCTGCACGAGTGACTGCTGACCAGCTGAGAAAAGCCCCCAACAGAGATCAGTAAGTATCAGTCCAACACACACACACACACACACACACACACACACACCCCCAGATGAAACTTTGCCACACATCATTTAAATGCATATTCCACTCAGTAATCATGTCATTATTATGGCAGTGTTACTTTTTATGATTTTATATTTTATATTTAATTCATTTATTCATATATTCTATATTTCTAAATTTTATATTCGATGACATATTTTTATTTTAATGTTAGTGTTTAATTTTGAATATGTACTTTGTTTTAGATTTTAATAATTAAAAAAATTATGGATATTTTATGAAAGCTAATATTTACATTTTTATTAATGTCAAGTTTATTTCAGTTACCAAAACATTCTAATGAAATGTACTCAACCATTCAAATATACAGAGGAAATTGGAAATATTCTTTTATTGTTTTCATTCTCAATAAGTCCTTTCTGTCTTTTTTTATTTTTATTGAAGGAAAATAATGTTTTCATACAAAACAGCAATAAACATTACAGTTTCCTTTTTTCAATTTTTTTTTTTTTTTACCCAAGTCCTACCCCAAGAACTGAACATCCCAAGGCAGCTTATCACAATAATTAGGGTCAAAAACAATAACTAAACAGTCCGGAGTTATGCATGTCATGACATAACAATGATGATTAAAGAAAGAAGAAAAAAACAATTACAAATAACAGAGGAAGAAATATGTAAATGAATAAAAAATTGCAGGAAAAACTGCATAAAAGTCAAAAAACACCATGAAGTGGATACACAGAAATATGCAGATTTATTAACCGCAGGGTAATTCTTTCACATTTTTTAAATATGATAAAATAGGTTCCCAGTACGTATAGAACTTGTCCACCGAACCCCTTAGTGTGTATTTAATCTTTTCTAGTTTTAGAAAAGACATCACACCAGGCTGGCACAAATGGGGGTGTGGAGGATTTCCAGAATAACAAGATTCTTTTGCGGGCTAATAAAGATGTATAAGCAATAATGCCCTTCGTCCTTTTTGTCTTTGACCAATAGAAAATAAAAAATATATGTAACCCTTGATCACAAAATCTGTCAGAAATAAAATTGGACTTTATTATTTAAATTAAAAGCTGATATAAGCAAATAAATAAGGAACTATTGTATAGTTTGTTAAATTTGGACGAAATTTGACTATAATACAACTACATATATATTTGAAAATCTAAAAATGGTATTTTTATATATATACTTTAGATAATGTACAAAATGTCTTGATGGAACATGATATTTAATTATTATTCGAATGATTTTTGGCAAGACACATGTCAGTTTTTGTGTACTGCAGTGATCATTGAAGTCAGATTTTTTTTTTACTTCTCTTCTCTGCGTGTACAGATGGAGTATGACTCCACCTACTGTCAATGCCTACTACAACCCGACAAAGAATGAGATGGTTCTTCCTGCAGGCATTTTCCAGGCTCCCTTTTACAACCACGCTTGGCCAAAGTAAGATTGTTTTCCATTAACAAAACCCTCACCTGCTTATTAAGCCTCGTCAATTTCAGCAAATATGTCATCATAAACACATCATTCTCTTGTTTTTTAGAGCCATGAATTTCGGTGGGATAGGTGTGGTTATGGGGCACGAACTCACCCATGCTTTTGATGATCAAGGTCATTTATTATTCCTTATTTCAGATCTGCTGTGTGAGACTCAGTCAGTTGTTGTGATAGAAGAAATATAGTCTTGCTCTCTTTCATTATCATACATATAGGTGCTAATTTTATTTAAATAATACTGCATATTTAAAGTTTAAGCAACAACATTCTTACCTAGAGAATCGTCTAATGCCTTTGCTGTGACTTTTGCGGTGAGAAATGCAGCAAACAGAGTTATACAAAGGAGGTTTCTCTGAAATACAGCTTATGGTTAAACATAATTTTAGTTTTTTCTCTAAACTACCATACCTTAAGTTTAAAATGAAATGTTCTCATTTCATATGTGGTAGAATAACTCTGATTTTTACCCTAATTACCCTAACCTGCCTAGTTAACCTAATTAACCTAATTAAGGCTTTAAATGTCACTTTAAGCTGTATAGAAGTGTCTTGAAAAATATCTAGTCAAATATTATTTACTGTCATCATGGATGGCCAGGATAAAAAAAAACAGTTATTAGAGATGAGTTATTAAAACTATTATGTTTAGAAATGTGTTGAAAAAAATCTGCTCTCTTATTAAACAGAAATTGGGGGAAAATAAACAGGGGAGCAATTAATTCAGGGGGGCTAATAATTCTGACTTCAAGTGTGTGGTGTGTGTGTGTGTATATGTGTATATGTATGCCATTATTTGCTAACTTGTCCCAACCTTTAATATTTCATCTAATTTCAGATTTGCAGTGTGTAAGACTTAATCAGTTGCTGTAATATAAGAAAGAAAGTGTTCCACTATTTTATTATCATATATATATAGAAAGAAATGGAAGAAAAGTTATCCAATTTTTGGGAAACTGGTTTGGGAATTTTTATGTGAACCTTTTTTTTTATATATCTTTATCAAAATGTTAATAAATACTAAAGAATAGTTCACAAATTTATTTAAAAAAAAAATAATATCATTTACTCACTTGTTCCAAACCTGTTTAATTTTTTTTCTGTTGAACATAGAAGATATTTTGAAGAAAGGTAGAAACCTGTAGCCATTGACTTCCATAGTATTTTATTTTTAACAAGTCAATTGTTACCGGTTTTCAGATTTCTGCAAAATGTCTTATTAGGGTTCGAAAGACAAAAAAAAACAAACCTATAAGGATTTAAAACCACATGAGGATGAGTAAATAGCAAATACATTTTCATTTTCATGTGAATTATCCATTTAGCCAATCTTTGGGTTTGGTGGCAACATTTTTAGCTTAGTTTAGCTTAGCATAGATAATTAAATCACATTAGACTATTAGCATCCTACTTAAAGATGACCAAATAATTTCGATTAACATTGCTTTTTAAAGTTTGACTATTCTGTAGTAAGCTTTAAATATGACAATTTTTTAATATCTGGTATTTTTGAGGTAGATGCTAATGGTCTAATCCAATTCAATGATTTATGCTAAGCTAAGCTAAAAGTGATCCTGCTAGAACCAGAGATCGGCTAAATGAAATTAAAAAAGGTAGAACTCAACTGTTTGGCTCTGGAATAGCTGTGAATAGTTTTTCTTTGAAATGTTTATCCTTTTAAATCATCTTACTATTATAACAGAAATTTGTTGATGTTGAAATGTGAATATGTGTGTTATTTTAAAAAAACTAATATTTTACAGGACGCAAATATGACAAGGATGGAAATCTTGCAAAATGGTGGCAAAATTCGTCAGTGGAAGCTTTTCAACACCAGACCCAGTGCATGGTGGAGCAATACAGCAACTACAGTATTAACAATGAACCCCTGAATGGAAAACACACTTTGGGAGAAAACATCGCTGACAACGGAGGCCTGAATGCGGCTTACAAGGTTTGTTGTGGAACAAAAATCTACTTTTAATCTATCTAATTCAATCGACAGATCTGTTGTGTCCATCATACAGACGCCAGTGGTTACTTTCCATAACACGAAAACAGCTTCTGCGTATGGCGTGTGAGAATCCGAGACCAAAGGCATTACGTTCTCTATATTTCCCTCATTGACGGCTTTGATAGTATTTGGGGGGCTGTAGTGATCCCGACTCGCTGAAAAGCCTTTGCGGGGCAACAGGTGGCTCCAAATGGGCCGCTGTTCCTCCAGCAGCTCGGATTCTTTCCGTCGGCTGAAAAGTCATAGGTTACGGAGCAGATGCACAAAGCATATGGCCCGGAGAAGAGCCTGCGTTGACCTCTCTGATGGAGAGAAAAATAAGCGTGGACACGAGGGCTCTGTTTATCTGGCATCTCAGCATGCAGAGTTATTGGTGGACTAATGTTATCACGCTTGCTTTGCAGGCTTATGTAAACTGGATCAAGAAGAACGGCGAGGAGGCCAGTCTGCCTGCCCTTGGGATGAACAACCATCAACTGTTTTTTGTGGGATTTGCTCAGGTTTGTGTGTTTTTTTTTTTTTTAGAAATGTTTGATTGTTGGCCTGATAATTTGAGTTGTTTTATGTGCATGATAAAAAGGTTTTGGGTTCATTCTTTCATTCATTTTCTTTTCGGCTTAGTCCCTTTATTAATCTGGGGTCGCCACAGCGTAATGAACCGCCAACTTATCAAGTATATGTTTTACGCAGCGGATGCCCTTCCAGCTGCAACCCAACTCTAAGAAACAGCCATACAAGCTCATTCACACTCATACACTACGGACAATTTAGCCTACCCAATTCACCTATACCGCATGTCTTTGGACTGTGGAGGACACTGGAGCACCTGGAGGAAACCCGCACGAACGCGTTGAGAACATGCAAACTCCACACAGAAACGCCAACTGACCCAGCTGAGGCTTGAACCAGTAACCTTTTTGCTGTGAGGCGACAGTGCTACCTACTGCGCCACCATGTCGGGGTTGTGGGTTGTGAATCATTAATTAGTAAGGCTAGGATTTATATTGATTTCCATACTTTGGTTTATTGTCTGATAATTGAAGTGAGGTGTGCTTAGCCTGTGCTGTTAGAAACGGGTTAAACTTTACAATCAAAAAAAGGCACAAAACAACAGCAAAATATGACAGTTGTGTCTAATAAAACCTATAGAATCTATTCAGAAAAGCCCAAGCAACAGAATAATTATAAATAACTGCCTTTTGTTAAGAAAAAATTATATAAATGAATAAAATATTTACATAAAACATAACGATGGTCTTAAAACCAAAAAACTAAATTAAAATTAGTTAAATCTGGGCCAAACAAAACCTGTTTTGGGCTAAAATAAATATAAATATCGAAATTAAATAACTAAGCACAGAATTTTGATAAATTGTATCAAACAGCTATATCACTCTGCAGCCCAAGACTGGTTACTCACTGAAGCTAAACAGGGCTGAGCCTGGTCAGTACCTGGATGGGAGACAGCATGGGGAAACTAGGCTGCTTTTGGAAGTGGTGCTAGTGAGGCCAGCAAGGAGCACTCAATCTGCGGTCTGTGAGTCCTAATGCCCCATTATATTGAAGGGGACACTGTACTGTCATTGAGCGCTGTCCTTCGAATGAGTTAAATCAGAGTCCTGTCTCCCTGTGTTATTAAAAATCCCATGCCACTTCTCATAAAGAGTAGGGGTGTAACCTCAATGTCCTGGCCAAATTCCCTTCACTGGTTCTTACCCATCATGGCCTCCCAATCATCCCCATCCACCAAATTGGCTCTATCACAGTTTCTCCACTCCACCAATAGCTGGTGTGTGGTGAGCGCACTGGCGCCATTGTCCTGTGGCTGCTTTTACATCATCCAAGTGGACGCTGCACAATGGTGGTAATGTGGATACATTTCAAAAAGAACAAGAAAATCACACTAAGGCTAATTTTGACCAACTATGTATATATAATGTTTTTATTAAATAAATAACATTTACAGTTGAAGTCAGAATTATTAGCTAGAATTAACAACTTGCCTAATTACCCTAACCTGCCTAGCTAACCTAATTAACCTTGTTAAGCCTTTAAATGTCACTTTAAGCTGTATAGAAGTGTCTTGAAAAATATCTAGTCAAATATTATTTACTGTCATCATGGCAAAGATAAAATAAATCAGTGATTAGAAATAAATTGTTTCTAAACTATTATGTTTAGAAATGTGCTGAAACCATCTTCTCTCCGTTAACAGAAATTGGGGGAGCTAATAATTTAGGGGGGCTAATAAATAAAGACTTCAACTGTACGTTTTAGTCATAAAATATATTCTTTAAATTAAATCGCAATACAATTTCTCACATTTTCTTGTAGTTTTAACAATTTCTGCTCTAAAAGAAATCATTGTTTCCTCTTTTGTAGGTGTGGTGCTCTGTACGGACTCCTGAAAGCTCTCACGAGGGCGTCATCACTGACCCTCACAGTCCTTCACGCTTCCGGGTCATCGGCACCATCTCCAATTCTCACGAATTCTCTGAGCACTTCGGCTGTAAGGCAGATTCACCCATGAACCCTAAACGCAAGTGTGAGCTTTGGTGACAGTGAGATTGAACCTGGAGCAGTTACCCTGCAAAAAATATGCCAAACGTCTGTCTCAGGTTACCTCATATTGACTGCCAGGTCACTGACAGTGGACTTATTTTCCCGCCTCTTAATGGGAAGCTGGTGTAAATAGAGACTCCATGGACATCTATATAATGGAGTTTTATTCTTCTCGAAACACTGGAAGTTAGTGCTATAATGTAATAGGAAGGAATTGTGCTTTTTGCTGGTGTTTTCTTTGAATACATGCCTTTTATAAGCAAATGCTTTTATTTTTTTATTGGGAAATACTATTTATGTTCTCTGTGATATGTTGTGGGGGATTGTTTGATTTCTTTTCAACTGTAATGTTCGCCAATTCTTACACAACATCAATAACATCACTCACATTTTGAAACACGTGTTTGGTCCAACACATACTATCTGTACAATTTGCCTGTGCAATATGTGAAGCTGATTTTGGGTGAATGATCAGATTGTAAATGAAGAATGTATATGTGAGCAGTATACACACAGTTTAATTGGGTTTATTTTTGTACTGCATTATACGAAAGTGGATAGTTCAGCTAAAAATGAAAATGCTGACATAAGTTACTCACCTCTGAACACAAAGGAAGATATTTTTAAGAATGCTGGAATGTGGTACCATTGACATAGTATTTTTCAACCATGGATGCTAATGGTTACCATTCTCCAGCATTCTTCAAATTATTTTCTTTTTTTGTCAAGGGAAATGAAAATTCATAAAGATTTGAATCCATATGAGGATGAGTGCAGTTTTGTTTTGATGTGAGCCATCACTTTAAGGCACCTTTTCATGGCTGATTTAAATGTTCATTGAAAGTGTTCAAGTCATAAATAACTTTATATTCAGTAAAATATTCAGGATTTGTCATTACAACTGGTCCTTGTTACTTTTAAATTCATGTCAAGCAGGTTGTGGCATCCAGGATAAGCACAAGTGCCATTTAGATCAACTGAATACTTTATACAGTTTTGCTTGCTCTGCCCCATTACAGCCTCTAGTGCTTTTGCTGTGTAAACGCATCCATGATACTTCAGTGTAGTATACTTCACCCCAAATATAAACTTCTGTCACCATTTGCTCGCCCTCAAGTGGTACCAAAACCGTTTGTTTGTTTGTTTCTTTTTTCTATTGAACACAAAAATATTTTGATGAATGTTTCCTACTATGTAAGTCAAATGCTCCCCATTTCCAACATTCTTCAAAATATCTTATTTTGTGTTTAACAGAAAAAGAAATTTGTAAGAAGAACAACTTAAATGGGCTTGGAACAAGAATTATTTTTGGGTGAAGGTGGGCTTTCCAGCTCCGAGTGGGCTGTACAAACCTGAAGTTTTTTATTTATTTAATGTCTTGTACATGACACGAAGTCCGATATTGTGTGTTTTTAATGTCTACACCTACCCCAACCCTAAACTCAACCTCACATTAACCTGTAGTGTTTTATTAATGTCTACACCTACCCCAACCCTAAACCCAACTCCACAGTAACCGGTTGTGTTTCATTAACGTCTACACCTACCTCAACCCTAAACTCGACCTCACAAATAATAACCTGATGCGTTTTATTAATATCTGCTCCACCTAAACCCAACCTACTTGTGGTTTAAGTTTCTCTTGCTTGGAGGTCTCTTGGCTGCAGAGATTCCTACTTGTAAGAAATGGACCTCATTTGTAAAGTGTCTTCTAATGATCTGGAGATATGTTGAGGGTTTTAGGCTATAGGCTTACCTCATCCAACATATTCAAAATATGTCTTGCATACTTACATTGGGCTTAATTTAATTTCAATAGCTCATTACTAAAAGGGCCCGAGCTTCGCGTAATTACAGTGATTTCAATTGATGAATGAATTAATGAAACAGAAAATAGACAGTCGCGCCGTGTCTCTGAAAAATCACCAACAGATGGCGCCACATTCATGCTTATTAAATGGCTGCAGGAATGCCTGCAAAAGCAATCTAATGCTGCAATAATTATTAATCTTCCTCCACATAAACACAATAAACAGGCTTCTCCACAACCTCAGCTTACATAAATTCCATAATCGCCTCCTTCACGCAAATATATTTGAAACCTTTCTCCATCAACCAAAATGTAGGCGGAACCCTTTTTAAAAAAGATGGATTATTCAGGCATCCTATATTGTTGCGAGTCATTTGTCACTTATGATTAAGAGTTTGGAATGCATCTAAAATGCCATTCATTATGTGAAACAGTGCAGGCATGTGGCGACTGCCTTTATGACGTCACTCTCACTGGTGTATTGCGATGCCGATGATTCGCGAACGAATCGTTCTTTCAGATCTAGTCAATGAACCGGTTCACAAAACCGGCCGTAATGATTCGATCACAATTGAGTGAATCATGATTCAACGGTTCTGGAGTTCGTTGACTCATTGAACCAATAACCTCTTTCTAATTTTACTCGAGGCAAAAAGTTCCTTTATTTAGCAAGTGTTTTAAAGTTGTATTTAATTGTTTAATACTTTTAAATAAAATTATAACATAATACATAAAATTTAAATACAAAATATTGTGAACTTGTACAATAAAAATGAAAGCATACCATTACAAAATATATTAATAAATGGCAAAATTTGAATTTTTTCTCTATTTTCATTATTTTTCCTATAAATCTGTATTTTTATGTATGTTTAGTTTTTATTTATTTATTTATTTATTTGTAATTGTTCATGTTTACTATTGTATACCAATTTTAAATAACAGGAACAACTGGAATATAAAGATTTTAAAAATACTCGTGCATGTGTAATAAACTTTAAGGAAGTTTATTAACGTTAATCACTGAATGGTTTTATGAACCCATCTTTGAAACGAGCTGTTCCAAAGAACCGATTCCTGGAAACGACTCGGACTTCCCATCACCACGGAGTCGGAGTGGCGTAAGGTGAACCCGAGCATCTACGAAATTACCCGACGTTTACCGAGCCGTCCGTCCAGCCGGACTGCTGGAAGCAGCCGCAACAACGCCATGTTGAGTGAAGTCTCCCATCTTTATGAGAAATTCTTACAATGCGACTCGTTAATGTGATGTTACTACGCAAAGCGGAGCAAACAAACCCGGAGACTGTCATCTGAAGAGGTAGAGAACAACAATTCAACCGGGGAGATCCAGGCTGGCTGAGGGGGATACAACCCCCCTACCGTCCCCATGTATAGAGCAGCTACAACCCCTGACTTCAAAGATAAAATGACATTTTTGCTACTAAAAGCCAGATCTGGATGAAATCCATGGCATAAGGATATACACGCGTTCCGGCCTTCGTAGAGAGAAGAAACGGCCAGATTTTGTTGGAACGTGCGACCGTTTTCAGCTGCGTATTGTTTGTTTTGGTTTAAATTTCTGCAATGAGTTTGCCACCGAAAGTGGTTCCGAAACCGGCCGCTGTCGCTGTTAGTGGACACGTAACCGGACCGGCACCGCCAACGCAGCTCCGCGCAGCGCTGACCTCCGTGTCGTTGCCACCGGGAGCCCAAAACGCTCCGCCGTCAGCCGTGCCGCCTACCCAGTATCCTTTACTAATAACAAAGCCCCTTGTGTCCCACAACGCAGATCGATGGGGAAACGAGTGCTTCGCTTTGTAATCACACCACCTGACTTGTTATTTGTTTACGTTCATTCCTTACTAATTATAATGATTGCATTAAGGTTGTGTTGCTTCGTATTATATATAGCCACCGTCGCCGTCCATCATATCGAAGGGATTTACTTGTTTGGTATCTGCTGCTGTTGTTCAGTGGTCATCTTGGCACTTGCTTTGTTCGTTGAACTTGACAATCCCAGCTTTGTGCACAGCTTCAGATCACTCACAAGCTATTCGTGGTTTTAATAGTCATCTAATGCTTTTCTTGGTTTGTGATGAAATGTTTTCCCTCCCTAAAGAACATGTGTTAGGCCTCAGTGCACAGCCCTCGGTTGCTAGGGTGCTGTTGCTCGTTGCTAGGGCGGGACTAGTAAATTGTTGTGAATGGCTCTATTGCAAGATTATCAAATATTATTTTCTAGAGAAGTGATCTCTCTGAGCTCTTTGTAGTGACAGTTAATGGGATTTTTTGCTTGGTTGTTCATCTGCTAGATGAATACCTACACCTGTGGTTTCTCTGCTAGGGCACCTGCATGAACTTGAAATCAATTTGGGATAAGCTTAAAAGAAAAAATATCAAAGAATGAAACTTTCTTCCAAACATCAAAGATGTAGATGGTCATTTGTTTTCAGTAGAATATTAAAAAAGGTTTTAGTTTAAAAAGCCGCTCTTTGGTTCTTGTACTGGCACTTAGAGAATGAATGTATACAAGAATGTGTGTATATATATATATATATATATATATATATATATATATATATATATATATATATATATATATATATATATATATATATGAAGAGTTCCGATGCGAAAAAAACTTTATATGCTTTCTAGAGAAAAATTTCAGGCGACATTTTTATCCGTCTCTTGTGTGTAGGTTTAGTAATATCACATTTATGTCAAAGAACAAGTGCCTTTCCTGGTCTTTAAAGTGAAATAATTCAACATAAACAATGGAGTCTGAAAAAAAAAAACAGTTCGTTTTCGATGGAGATTTTAGACGGAGCTTAGAGGTCTTTGCATCTGAACTCCTTGTGTGTATATATATATATATATATATATATATATATATATATATATATATATATATATGTATCGTCACTGGTGGGAGGTGTGCGTTGTGACCCCACCAGTGCTGATATACAGCCATATCGCACTGCTACGAGTGTGATATTGCGTTTATACAACAGTTTGACGGCATAATCATGTATATAAAAACAAAAACAAACATGGAGAGTCTCAAAAACCCTTTCGTATGATTCTTTTATTGCAGAATATTGCACGGCTATCAGCCAATCAGATTTGAGAATATATATATATATATATATATATATATATATATATATATATATATTTGCAGAACATTGTGATGAACTATATAACAAATTAGTCCTTCCTCTCTGTTGTAAACACATAGAGTCAGCTCACTTGCGATGTTGCATCCATGTAAATGTCATTCTACTTCAGGAAGCTTTTTGCTGAGGTTGTTTATTTAAGGTAAAGGACATTAAGTTTCTTGCAAAGACCGATTGTTTCTTGGAAAGATTGATTGTTTAATTAAGCTCCTTTTTGACGTACATTTTTTGACTCCGAAACTGCTGAGAGACGTTGACCTAGATGTTATGAA